ACACACACACACACACACACACACACACACACACACACACACACACACACCACACGCACCAAGAAATACCATTTTGTATTGGCACCTAGATGGCTCAGTGGGTAGAGCACTGGGCCTGGAATCAGGAAGACCTGAGTTCAAATATAGCCTCGTACACTTACTAAGTATGCCACTCTGGGCAAGTCACTTAACCTCTGTTTGCCACAGTTTCCTCAGTTGTAAAATGGAGATAATATAACACCTAACCCCCAGGGTTGTTGTGAGGATCAAGTGAGAATATTTATAAAGTGATTACGATAATAACTAGTATATAGTAGGTAATATGTAAGTCCTTCCTCCCTACTTTCCTTCTTCTTTTCCTTCCTTCCTTCCTTCCTTCCTTCCTTCCTTCCTTCCTTCCTTCTTTCCTTACTTCCTAAGTCCCAATATAAAATAGCTGTGACTTCCAGCCCTGTAGGTATGTTCCCCCTACACATGGTATTTTGGTAGACAATGAACTGGTGTCAACCATATAGTTTTCATAGTATATCTTCTTATTTCTCCCTCTCTCTCTTGCAGAATTAAGTATTTTCCTGTTTTAGTGGCAGACTTTGCTAATTATTTACTACGATTATAATCAACTTTCAGATTTTTATATCATTGGAGAAGGATATGGTTCATATGAGCAAAAATTGGGCATCTATATAGAAATTATGTGATTGTATGATCCCTGAATTCAAATCTCAACCAAAAAATGACAAACTCTATAGGTATTAGAAAGTTTTCCAATCCATTCCTCCCCTATCTTCTTAGACTTATGTTGAGCTTTTGGCTGCATGATTGCAATAGTTTTATCTCTTAGACATCTTAACATGCCTACCTCAATTTGTCATATTTATTTTACACACCTTTGGGTCAGGATATCAACTGTTTGGTCTTCAAGAAATCCTACCATGGTGCAGGTTTTAAGCCCCCCTCCCAAAAAAAAGATATAAATAATAGCTATAACTTTGTAAATTACTTTTCTTAATTTATGAATAATGGAATTTTAGAGCTAATAGGGGCTATGGTGATATTAGAAGCTAGCTTCCACATGTTGTATTTGTATATATGAGGTTCAGAGGGGTTGTGATATCCCCAAGATCACAAAGCTAGTTTCTTAATAGCAGAGACTAGAGGAGCACCTAAATCTCCCCATTCTGAGGTTATTAGTCTTTCTACTCGTCCTTGCTTTATATTCATGAAGCTTTGGGAGGAAGCTTTGTCATAGATAGTTAGGAGTTAGATGTATCGTAGGAATTCTCAATGCTTGCTGTTTAAAATAAAACCACAGATACTGTTCTCTATCCTATAATAACCCAACTTTACACTGCAATCTGTTGTTTACCAAGCATTTTTCTCAAAATGATTCTGTAAGATATTTAATACAAGTATTATCATCTCCATTTTACATGCACGGAAACAGACTTGGAGACTTCCTCTGAAAACTAGTCAAATCAACACTGTTAGTGCTCCTGGAAAAGAGTATGCTAATCACTTGCCCTGTGTTTCGACTCACCATTCATATGACTTCCCAGACCAGTACTCATCAGTATCCATATATATTTTGCCTTCCCCCCTTTGGAATGTAAGCTCCTTGAAGGTAGACAATGTCTATGTATTATATTTGTCTCCTAGCCCTTAGCAGCATATAAGTGCTTAATAATTATTTTTTCACTGATCTGTCCATTCATTCATTCAGTCACACAACTAGTAAGTATCAGAGATAGTACTTAAAACCAGGTTTACTAATTTTAAAGCCTCTTTTTGTGGATTAATGAAGCTATTTTGGAAAGGAGTACCATTATTGATTCATGTACCAGCTTAGTTCTCTTACTAGATCATCCTTTACAGCTTTCTAATATAATATTGAGTGGCAAGTTTAGCCAGTCACTTCCCATTTCTGTCAGAATGAACTGCATCTATTTTGACCCCATTCAGAATATTTGTTTGCAACCCTGGAACACGTAATTGAACATGCAAGCTTAGGTTTTGTTTTGTTTTCAAAGTTTGTATCATGAACGTTGTGAACCCATACAAAGAGTGGCTTATATTTTGAATGATAATTCTACAAATAAATAAATAAATAGATCTGTGGATAAAAAGACTTGTTTAAAGCAGATGTCTTCTATTTTACAAGGATAGTTTGACAGGTATGTTTACTCTAAAACAGACCTTTCACTATGTTATCTGAAGGGCATAGTTACAATCTTAATTTTCGGTATTGCAAAGTGAAAAATCACTTCTGTTCCCTCAGCCAAGCAAAGTGCTTTCAGTCCAGCAGTAAATGAATTATTTATGACCTGTAGAAGAACTTCCTAATAATAGAAAATTTTATACTAAAAGAAAACACAAAGAGTAACAAATCCATCCTCTGCTGTTATGTACCAATTTTTATACTACATCTGTATGTTACCAGTGTGTTGTGTTTGTTTGGGGAGATAAAAGTACCAATTCTGTTACTTTTTTTCTTCTTGTGATAATAGAGACCTTATTAAGAAACTTCTCGTTGTAGACAGGACAAGACGACTAGGGAACATGAAGGTCAGTATTCCATTTTTCGTGTGTTAAATAATATTCTGCATGAGATTAACTTAATTGAATATCCTACTATTTACACCTGTGAATGCCAACTAAATGAAAAGGACCATGCATTTGGAGGTTTCAAACTTGATGTGTTTTATTCTGAGTCATTTCTATCACTTCCTGGCATCATTATAAAGCTTTTGGAAATGAGGGTCATGAAAAAATGATACAGAATGGTCCAGAGAAATATTGATTTAAGTCACTTCTCCATCATTATTTTAAATTTCTTATGCATGCCATTTTTAAATTATAATTTTACTTGGGAGAGAAATGCATGAATTTCTGTTATGTATTTAAAACTGAAGTTCTAAATGAAGTATATATATGTAAATACATATGGATAGATGTGTGTATGTATGTGTATATATATATATACAAAAACACATATTATATATATGTATGTGTATATTTATATAGAATATTACCATTCATTATCATTAATTTTACATTGTTTTGTAGCACATCTACAAAAAGATTTGGGCAAACTTGAAATGAACTGGATGTTGTCCAAATGAAATTAGAAGGGATAAACATGAAGTTTAGTCATTCGGCTTACAAAAGCAACTGTATCAATATAGGATAGGGTAAAGTAAACCACAGCTTATGTACAAAGGCTTTTGGGTAAACAAGCTCCATATGATGAAGTGGTAGCTAATGAGTTCATAGATTACCTTAAGAGAAGTATATCATCCAGAAGGGATGGTCTCAGTGTACTCTGCCATGGTCAGGCCATGTCTTGAGTTATTGTGTTCAGTTCTGGGTTTCACATTTTAAGGAGGACATTGACAAGCTAGAATGTGTACAGAAGAAGATGACCAGAATGGTGAAGGGGACTGGAAACCATGCTATACAAGCATCAGTTGAAAGAAAGGTTGGTTAGCCTGGAAAAGATATGGGGGTGAGGGGAAGAACAATAGTTGTCTCTAAATATGTGAAGCATTATTATGTGGAAGAATAATTAGACTTGTTATGCTTGGCCCCAGGGGCAAAACAAGTACCAATGGATGGTGAAATAACACAGAGGTAGGTTTTGGTTCAGTGTCAGGGGAAAAAAAAAACACAACTTCCCAATACTTACAACTCTGAAAAAGATTTTGTCCTATCTCATAGATTACTGCTTGGGGATTTTATAGGGGACATTTATGCTCAGAATGTTTGTATGAGATGACTGCTTAGGTGTCCATAAAGCTCTAAGATTTTTATTGACCATTCCAGGCAATATAAGTGTAGAATGTATACCATTAGAAGAGACTTTTGTAAAATTTTCAGAAAAATTCTTCATCTCATTATTCAGACACTTTTAATCTTTGAAAACAGAAACCATTTATGAAACATTCACACTTTGATAAAAATCTGTCAATAGCACTTGATACTGTTAAGGATCAAATCTCCCCCTCCCCCCCGCTTAGTATCGTAGCATATTTTGTCTATGTGTTTGATATATTTAATTGTAAAAATATATCTTGGCTCTTTGAAATATGATCTTCATAAATGCTTACCACATTTGATTGGCTTGTTGCGTATTTAGTTCACTATGAATCTGTTTACCACTTACCCAGTGCAAGGCACTCCAATTATCTTTTATTGACATTGGATATGTTTTCTCTTAATTGAATTTGTTTCTTGAGGACAAGGACTATTTCGTAACAGCACTTAGTACATAGTAGGTACTTAATAAGTTCTTGATTCATTCATTGATTTAATTTCTCCTGAGAAAGGCCAAATATCTCTTATAGTTTATGTTAAAAGCTGAAAGAAAAACTAAATTACTAATTCAGGGGTCACACTGCCCTTTATGTTTCATTTCCAAGGCTTAATGTTAGCTGTATCTTATACCCTAATTAGTAATGTTTCTGTAATGAAAGTGGTGAATGGCCTGGGTATAGTAATTATTTGTTAGGAGTAATCACCATTACAGTAATAATCTAGACACCATTTTAGGAATAAAAAAGCAAATAACTTATTTTACAGTGTGAATAGAGGACAATGCATAAATTTGCTAATTGTTCTTCCACATCATGGGTTATAGGGCTAAATTTATGTATATCTTAGAGAATAAAATATCATAAAATTTTTAAAGTAAAGGATTGAACTTAGGTTACTCAGTATTTTCCACCTATATTTCCTATTTTTTTTTTTCTGGTACTACCTGCTAGTGATAGAGCCATCGGAGAGGTTTTTTTAGAAAAGGAAAGGAAATACATCTGCCTTTTTAATACAAGTACTTTAATATTAAGATAATGAAGGGGTTTCATCCTTCATGCAGATATTAGACTATGACCTTTTCGGGTCTCTAATAACTCCAAAATAATGAAAATTTCTGACTTTGGGCCTTTCTAACATCCTATTTGCTTGTAGGTACAGGTGTCCTTAATTTTCTCCCCTTTGTAAACCAGTATTCTGTTTGAGCAGCAACAGGCAAGATTAAGGCACAAAACTCTTTTGCAAAGTCAAGCACAAAGTGACTGTGTCACAATCCTACAATTGATATATAAAGTAGAGGGGAATTTTTAATCTCTGAACTGTGAGAGACATAGCACTATATTATTCTTTGTTGGATTTTTTAAAATCTTTTTTGTTCTGAAATAATTGTCTTATTTTGAGATAAATATCTACTCTAGGTTTGTTGTATTGGAAGAGGCTAGGATATATGTTCCATTAGTGAACATATTATTTTAAGAAAATAGTTTCATCCATCCTACCCAACCCACTCACCCCCTACTTGTTTCTGTGGCCTTTGTGTTATGGGTTGGTGTATTAAGTCATGGGGATTGGAGCAGTAAGGGGCTAACAGTATGAATTGGCTGATTCATATTTACACCAGATGCTGACTTTTCCACATTCCCACCAGAAGTTACAGGAGGAACTAATACAGTTTGCAAAGAATATGGACTTTGATTTTCGGTTTTTCAAAAGTTTTCCAATGATTCTATTCTTAAATTAATGTTGACATGTTCCACATCACCAGTTACTTAAACTTAGTGATGGCATATTATTAGCTTTGCATTTATGCCTTCTCTACTTCTTTTGAAGAATGGAGCAGATGATGTGAAAAGGCACCGGTGGTTCAGGTCTGTGGACTGGGATGCTGTACCCCAGAGAAAACTGAAGGTAAAAAATGGGGCTTAAGTGACACAGTCTTCATTTTTAGCTAGCCGGTTTGGGTTACCAAGATAGACCAATAATAAATATTGTTATAACTGATTTTAGTGTTACATGGTTGAACTGAATAAGCAAAATTGAGAAATAAACAAAAAAAAAGACAATACAAAAAAAAAGACCTGATATGAAGTAAAGAACAACATTTATAGAAAAGCATTTAGTGGAGGACCTCCTAAAGGTTATACATCTCAGGGGAAATTATTAATAAATGCAGTTGATAGGTTTTCTAGGGCAACCATACAAATTACTTCATTTTAAATATCTCATAGTACTAAAGAGCTATCTCAATTTATCTGAATCAAAATATATCTTTACCATCTGAATAGGAATCATTTTAGGATAGAGGGTTTTAGACTCAACAGACAATGTAAATCTCATTATATGGGCTTGCTAAGGGTGAATACCCAGATCTTCAAATGGACCACTTAATTTGCTTTTAAGGGACATCTGTGTCTTAGACTTCCTTACTATACGTGGAGTATCCAGAGTTCATACTTCCTCAGTTGCATGAAACTCTATATACATATACCTATACATGTATACGTGTATATATGTATATGTATACACACACAAACACACACACACATCACAGAAGATGTTTTTCTGATTTTAAAGAATTCCATTGTTAACCATGAACAAAATAACAAAGAATCTTCCATTTGGAAACCCTCTATTGCCATATTTTCTGCCAGTACATTTATAGGCTTAGGTTTACAGAAATGTAGAAAATGTGTAGAATGTTTAATTGAAATCATAGAGTCTTAAAGGTGATCAGTCTTAATGATCTAATCTAAGTCCTTTATAGACTATAATAAAAATAAAAGCTAAAACCCAAGAAGTTTTAAATGACTTGTTCAAGGTTTCCCAGCCAGAGGCAGAATTCCTGAGAGCTGCTCAAGGCAAATTATTAGAAATATGCTTCAACACTCCCTTCCCCAAGTTTTGGGTTCTTTCCACCATAACCTCATGTCCTTAGTTCTTTATGCCTGAGTAAACATTGTTCCTAACAGCTATTTAATAGTATCAGTGGTGTTCTCCCATTAAATGTAAAACTATCATTTTTCATTTTTCAAAAAATGACCTACTTTTTTGTTTACAATGTTACCTTCAACCTAAAAAAGGTTTCAGATGAGTGTAATGAAACATTTATTGAGCACCTACTATATGCAGGGCAGTGTGCTAGGTGTGCTAGGCATACAAAAATAGAAAATAAATAGTGTCTGCTTTGTGCTGTGATACATTGTGCTAGAGTACAGGTCAAGCCTGTATGTCTGTCATTTGAATTCCTGAGCAAACTTCATGACCAAGCTGGCAATTGAATGACATATTTTTGAGTCACAACAGATCTTGAAGACTATTTACCAAATCTGCTTTGATGGAAAGAGAAACCATATGGATCGGTCCTCGAAGCATTGGAGCGTACTCCATGTTTTTCCAAAACAGCACAGATATGCCAGTTAACATAAAGCCTGTTTGTAAATGACAAAGTTTGCTTTATTTCTAATACTTCTTGTTTGGCATGCTTCCTTAGCCTCCTATAGTGCCGAAAGTATCCAATGATGGCGATACATCTAATTTTGAAGCTTATCCTGAAGATGACTGGAACAAGACACCCCCTGTGCCTCCTAAAGACTTAGAAATCTTTAAGAATTTCTGAGTACAGGGAACCACATATGGAAAGGTATACCTTTATTTGCCATACTTCAAAAAATACTTTACATTTTAAATCATAAACTCATGGGATAAAATTTTGTTTTCCTACCTATTAAACTGTTTAACTAAGTAGCTGTTGAATAGGAGGATAAGAAGTATATATGTAATTAAATATTTTGATGTGCAAACCCTCCAGCATGATGCTGATTCATTTTAAAGATATCAAGGCTTTTTACACTTTACTACTGGTTAGTTCTGAAATCACAAAATAGTCTTAAAATCTGTTTACTTTGTTTCTGTTTCATTTTCTCTGCTTGCTTCAATAGCTTATTCTTTTGACATCTATTAAACTTTATTCATGTACTTTAAGCCAGGAAAAGTCTAGGAAGATTGAAGTTCTTTTTTTAATATATGTATGTATATAGAAATATCTTTTGAATAATGCATATTTGATAAATCCCTGACACCTGCCCCTGTAAATTTGTACCATAAACTCTTTTCAGTATGAAATTCATCTCTTTGCTTTAGGTGTTTCAATGTCTTGTCCTTTCTAACAATTCAACAGAACTGCTAGCAATTTTTAAACTCAAGTACAAAATAGAGTTATTTGAGCTTTTTTTTCTTCCTCCCTATCCTGATACTCTCTTCCCCACCCCCATAGACACGCAATGAAGATAATGAGAAACATTTTAGCAAAGCAAGGGGAGCTTCGATTTGAACACTTAGCAACTAGGCCTTGAAAACTATAATTGACATTTAATTCTAGGTTCTCATTTATTTGTACAACTTCCCTCATTTATATTAGACTGTTGAGTTATGTGGGTAAAATCATGTTATATCAAATTTTGAAACCTGTCCTTTTTCAGATTCTTAATTTTGCTTTGATGGTTGTTAGTTCCCTTAACCAGTGGTTTTAGAAGTTTTTTTCTCATATTAATAGAAATTGTGAAAATAATTCTGAAACCTTTTGACTTTCCGTCTTACTGCTTTGAAAAAAGGAGCTCAAAGATTGGCTGACGATTGGAAAACTAACAAAAATTCTTTGTATTTGTGCTATTGAATGTCAGAAACTGGAAGAAGATTTGAAATGGTCTGAGCACATTTGAGAAGAATTGGGCATCTGCCAACATGAAGAAATTCCTTCACATGGATGAGGAAGTTTCCACGTTCATATATGCACATATTTATATAAAATGAAATTGGAAGGCCGGTTAAGTTTAATTTTAACTGTATAAATCTGGCATCAGTTTAAAAACTGTTGCTATAGAAAGTCTACTCAGTAGTAGATTATTTGATTAAATTGATTTTTTTAGATCCTTTATCTTATTGTTACTTTTCTGCTATGCCAGACTTTTTTTTCCTTTTGCCTTATCTCATAGACTTAACTTTATAAGTTTATACTAAACTTGTGACATTGTAAGCACAGATTAGTATATATGTATATAAAGAAAACAAAATCACCTAAGCACAGGGATTGTGCAAAGATGTAAATGTTTGTACTTTGCAGAGTCTATGATTTTTATTTTTCAGATTTTTTTTTAAAGAGTTTCTTCTTTGGGGAGATAAAACTCTTAAAGGATAAATAAGTTTTTCATCATCTTAAACATTTTATAGTTCTTTGTAAAAAAAAAAAGGAATTATGTTAAGATTTGTAATTAAAATGTCCAGTGCTTCATTGTCTGTAACTATAGTACTTGAAAGCCCGAGTAAAGGAGAGGAGGTACAAGTTTCTTCTTTAGCTCATGAAAGCCCTGTTGATTCATGAGTGTTCAGAAAACAAAACGTCCTGGAAATATTTCACATGCTATTATGATCTATGGTGTCCTGCTGTGTACTGGGACTTCTCCTTATTTAAGCTGAAGTATAAATCTGATACATAATACCCAAGACCTTGGCCTCTATTGTTTTTGGCTATATGTAGATTCTTTTTCCCCTTTAATTTAGGGGAAGAAGAACTACACAAGTGACAGGATGTAAACATCCAATGTACCATGTAAATTACCCAGAGGTCTAACTTCTATTCAGTTCTGCAGATGCAGCCTGTTTGCCTCTCAAAGATCACCTAGGGTTTTATGGTATTATTAGGGGGGTGAAAATGAGTTCCTAAGCATCACAATGATGTACATAAATAAAAAGTTTTTTGAATGTGTATTTTATGGTAGCCAGATGTTAAGGTGATACTTAGGGCTGAACTGCAAAATAGGGACTGAAACAGGTGTTCATCCCAGAAGCAACAAGCTTGCAGAATTTCTGGGAAGTAGCATATGGACCTCTGCTCATTGTTCATTTCATTTTAAAGCATTCCCATTTCCTTCTATACTCTTCTTCCTCCTCTTACTGTTCTAAAATTCCCTGGAAATCTCCAAAGACTTTTTTCCCCAGCAAAAAATAATAAACTTAGTTTGCAAAATCCTGTTATTAATCTGTCAGCAGTTGTGAATTCTAATTATGTCCTGTCTCTAAGAAGTAAACCCAACAAGACTTCCCGTGAAGAATCTCTCAGTGCTAAGGGTTTTTCCTACACATAACTGTATAATGTATACATACATATATACATAAACACACATGTACACATTTACATACTATATATCAATATGCGGTATATGTATATGTGTGTGTACATACACACAAACACAATATTTAAATAAGATAAGAGCATGCATTAATTGGGTTCAAGTAGCAAAAACAGAGCAATTATTCTTGTGAATAAGTTCTATATAATGAACTAGATCCAGGAAGTGAGCAGATTATTCTTGGAATATTGCATTGTTCCCCCCTCCCCCACCCCATAAGTCAGCAAATGTTTAGTTTACACACACTGGAGAAATTTAGCAAATAATACTCATGTAAGTGAAAAATGAGAGTGTGCCTCTCAATTTGCTATCCCCTAAAGTGCCTAACTCACTGTGCATTTAAGACATTATTTAGTAAACCTGTTGGATTTGTATGTTATGCTAAAAAAAAATTTTTTTTTAAATCCACAGGCACCATTTTATAAGAGAGTACACTGGAAGAGATGTACTTTTTGTGGGTCTTCCTAGTGGTCTCAAATATATTCTGGTCCAATGATTTTGATGGTTTCTTATTGTGATACTCATTTGACACAGAGATTGGTTTCTGAGTAGCAAGATTTCAGAAAAAAACAAAACAAAACATTTCCTATCATGTTTCAGCCTGGTGGTTGAGATAGATTTTTTTAGTGTACTTAGAAAAGAACTAACTTCAGAGATAGTTTCCTAAATGCCTTCAGAGAAACCTGACATGCCATGAGAAAACAAGTCATTGTCCCATCCTCAGTCATATTAAACTCATAGATTCCAAATAAGCGTTTCCAAAAATCTAGGATCTATGCTCAGCAAAATTCTATTTAGAACAAATAGCCCAATGAGAAAAATTCATGAATACCTTTTAAAAGAGTATATAAATTTCATCCACAGAACTGTGTAGAACTTAGTCTTTATCTCCCCTGATGTTAGGTATTAAGATCAAGGCCAAAGGTTGCTAGACATTCAACAATCAATTTCTGAGATAAAGTGTGATCTAACATTAAAAAACAAAATCGGTAAAGTGACTTCCATAGTTTACTGAGATAAAAACTTAGAGCTACCAGAAGTGATAACCCAAGTCTAGTGCCACTTGACTTTTTAATCACATTTATTCTTAAGGAACTTTTTTCCTTTTAAAAACCATATACAGAACAACTTGTTTTGAGTACAACTTTAAACTGTACATAAGTTCAGTGTGCTAGTGTGTGTACTTCTTTGGCTTACTACTTGTTACCTTTCAAAATGTAATGTTGATATTAAATTGAAATAGTATAGAAAGCATGAAATATATTTGCCTTATTTCTGAATAAATATGCAGGAAATATAGATGTGTTAACATTGGTTACATTGTTCTTTTGCAGAACTGTAATCAGCCTTTGGAAGAAAAAAAAGTGAGACATTAAAAAGAAAATTCAAAGACTTTTGAAGGTGTTAATAAGTATAGAGTGAACAGTCGAGCACGTTTCAATATTTTATTTAAGTGCCACATGTTAACTGTTCATTAATAGGCCATAAATTATCACTTCATATAGTGTGATGTTACATAAAGGTTGGTTGTAATTTAAATAATAAACCTGGAACAATCATTAAAAGTAGCTAGGGAAATAGTTGAATATGTGTGTATAGACATTTGTATTTATATGGTCAGTTATAATTGCAAAATTTTAAAAATTGTGGGGTACATATCACAGAGTTTATACACCATTTAAAGTACCATTTTTATTTTTTGACTTGCTGATATTCATTATTTTGCAGTATTTTCTGGAATCTGAGTACTACAAAATTTCTTATTTATAAAATGCACAAATTGCTCCATTGAGTGTATTGAGGATTTCATTTTCAAGTGGTAAAATTGTCATTTCTGTCTTCATTTGTATGAATTAAGCCAAGGAGGAAATAACACTAACATTAACTTTATATTGTATTTGCAGTGATAGATTTTCCATCCTTTCACATCAGAAACTGAATTTGTTTTAGACGTGAGTATATCCATTGCTGGTAATGGATGTACTCTGAGTTTCGGTACCAAACTCACAGACTCACAGAGTCAACAGAAGGAATAGAAGTAATGGGATGTTTGCAACCATACATACTTATGTTTATACACACACACACACACACACACACACACACACACACACACACATTCATCCACTCTAGATCTATGCATATGGAACCGAGAATAATTGTTTTTTTTTATGTGATTTCCAGTACAATTCTTTGTATTTCTTTCCTTGAAATTGTACATATTTTTGATAGATTGTTTTTAAATCCTACTAAAAAATGAAGTAACCCTAACCAGGTGAGGGATGTGAGAGGGTGAGTTGTCATTTAAGTATATGGCCTAGGTGGTGGGTCTTAAGGTTGTATACCTTTCTCATGGTGTTAACTGAAGAGAAAGGGGCACAGACTCCCTTGGTACCAAGGACTGCCATTATAAACATAATGTGTCTACACAATGAAGTAAAAAAAAAAAGGCAATAGGATTTAGTGATTTACTGTGCTGCAGACTGACTCGCTGATTAAGAATTTTATATTTTCCATGAATTGCTTTGGAGTCACAAGACACAGCCTCCATGCCCCTTTTTCTTCCTTTTGGTTTGAAATGTATAGTCTCAATATTATTTATATTTGGCTCACTTCTCTATCATGCGTTTTATACATGTTGAATAGTTTCTATGTATTACCTTCCTTCCCCCACAACAGTGTGAAGGGTTTTACTATTACTTCATTCTAAGTGAACAAAATGGACCTATTATAAAAAGAATTTTTAAGGCAGGTTCAAAATGTCTTTATTTTTTAGAGTATTCGTTCTTTCAAGAATTTATTAAGCACCTAGACTTAATAGGTTCTTATGTGCCAGGGCTCTTGCTAGGCACCAAGGATACAAAGGGCAAAACCAAAGCAGACCTTGCCCTCAAGGAGCATGCATATTATTGGGAATTGGTCATTTCTGTTTATTTTTAACCCAGCGTAAGGTTCTAGAATAAAACTTGCATTGTGAATGCAATGGAAACCAAGGGAAAATTGCTTGATGGAGGACAGATTTCCATAACTCACACAACCTTAGCAAGTGACTTTTTAACTAACATTAACTGACTTGATCTTCTACTGTCAAAACATAATCAATTGAGTGAAAACTCAATTAGGTACTAAACTCACGGTTAATGGATGAACCAGGATTTGAAGGCTTAAATACAGTGAAAGGGTGACCATTGTTTAGTCCATTGCCTTGCCGTCCTGAAGAACTGTAATGCAGTGCTTCCTTATGCTAGAGGATAATTTTTCATCTTAACAACAAAAACAATAAAAACTGTAGCATGATTCTTTTTTTTTCTATTTTGAATACAGACTTGCCATATTCTGCACTTTTCTATGGCAAACCTGACTACTTTATAAATAGTAGGAAATAATAACTTGGCACAGGTTTGCATACTTCATAACTAGTTTGATGTGAGAAATAGTCGAGGTTATTTTAGACTCATTAATATTGTTGGTTGCTAGTCCTCAATCATGTGTAAAAGTACTGTCCAAAGTCATGTCAATTCATTGCACAATAAAATCACTGTGATTTGTATATAAACCCTAGTGAAATGTTACTGCTGTTTAATTTATGTAATGCCTGTTGATTTCTGGATTTGTTTAATAAACCTTTGTATCTTTTAAAATGCCTAAATCTTGTTTGCTTCTATTTATATTGGGAAGACCCCCTAATGTGTACAAGGAAGTAAGATTAATTAGGCTCAGGAAAAAAAAGTGATTTACTTAAAATAGGTAAACCTTTTTGGCAGCCACACCCTTACATCCCCACGACCTTGGAAGTTCACCACAGATATCTTCAGTTTGTAAGGATCAATCAATCAAGAAGCACTTATTAAGTGCCTACTATATCAGGCACAGTGCTAAGGTACTGGGGTTACAAACACAAAAAATAAAATTCCTGTTGGGAAGGTGTGAAGGATTGTCTGATGTTGGCTACGTGCCACGTGGGGGTTGTGGCAAGATGGGGCAGGGACAAGATATTAGGAAGTAACCGGAGCTTACGCTCCCAAGGCAGGGGGCTGTGCCATGTGGAGTTGTGGTGAACTGGGGTAGGAACAGGATACGGGGAAGTAGCCGGAGCATGTGCTCCTCAGGCAGGGGGCTGTGCCATGTGGGAGTGGGACGGCAGAGAACGAGCTCCCTAGGTGCAGAGCTAACCCCAGAGGTCTCCTTCTGGTATCCGGGCCTAGCTTCCTGTGTCATGTACTCTCCCTTTGTGCAGCGCTAACCCCAGACGTCTCCTTCCTGTATCCAGGCCTAGCCTCCTTTGTCACGTCCTCTCCCTTGGTGCAGTGCTAACCCCAGACGTCTCCTTCTGGTATCTGATCCTACAATCATTCACTGGTAGGCGGGCTGAGGAGGAGGGGCTGGGAAGGTATATAGGGGCGGTAGGGGTCGGAGCTTGCTCTCTCTTGCTCTTGCTCCTGCTCTTGCTTTCCTGCTTGGCCTTGCTGTGATGGCCTCTGAATAAAGTTCGAGTGCTTGCACCTCCCGATCGACTCGTCTCTGTGTTTATCCGGGTGGGCTCCGAAGACTGGTAAGTATGACCCTGGCAGCCTGCTCCTGTTAGAAGGAGAGTGCACGGCGCGACCGGCACAGGAAGGTGTTCTTATGCTGATGGGAGTGACAGATGAGTTTATTATCTTCTCTCTTAAGGAGTAAAAAAAAATTGTTTCAAGTAATGAAGGCCTTGTTTTGTATCCTGTGGCAATTCAACTTTTTTTGTGGCCCAAGGAACAATGTCATAGTAATCTAGTAGCCAGAAACCTTTTTTTTTTTTTTAAATAATGATGCTAGTATGTTTGGGAGGTGTGACATAAAAAGTTTGAGAGACAGTTTCTGGGTAATATTATTTTATTAATCATGCTAGCAGTAATTAAAGTGTTGGTGACAATGCCAAAGACCCCTCATGGAACCCACTCAATGTTTATATGCCCTTGGAAGAGTGGGCTTTCCTTGGGGTAGCACTCAACTCTGATGGGCTGGCAAGTAATGAGAGAGAATAAGTATTATAATGAGAGATAGACCTATTCTAATGAGGGGCTAGGAGATATGACTTTGATTATGTCATTTACTTCCAAATCACCCACAGCCTTGGGCGATCTAGATAAAGGATCTACCCCCTCCCCCCCAAATCTGTGGGAGTGAAAACACCAAGATTAAGTTCTTTGTAAGGTTTTCTTGTTGGGTGGGGCAACAACTCCATCTAGATAAAATAGTCTAGGTGGAGTAAATTTTTGGGAAAGGCCAGGGATCTCCCCAATAATTTATTATTTAATAATTATTACTCTCAGAGGCTTTTCAGAAGAGAACTTAAGCAAAAACAAAAAATTTTGAGTTAATGGCAAAACTCACAAACTTGTCATTCAAATAAAATGAAGAAATAAGTGAAGGCTTAAGTCTTTCTCCAGATGTAACCTACTGTGGAATGTATTATAAGACCCAGTTCTACACTCATTTTGACTTTGCTCATTGTTTGTTTACTTAATGAACTTGGAGCACCTAAATACAAAAACTGACATTTTATATGTTACTAAAGAAAACTGAAAAAGAATGTGATCTTAAGCAGCGTTTGCTCTTTAAAAAAGGGGTGTCTGCTAACTTGATGACCCCAAGCTGGGAATCAGGAGATGACCATAGTATGTCTTCTAATAGGTGCTGGAGGCTGCTTGAGTTATTCCATATCTTAAGCTGGCTGAAATTTGCCAACTTTCTTATTTTATCTTCCTGGCCCGTCTGGTCCACTTGAGTCTAAAATTTCAAGTGAAAGTTATTTAATTGCTTGTTTCATACTGTTAGATATACAACTAACAATTCTGGTTAGTATATGTGGGCTTTTAAAGTTATTAATGTAATGCGATGAAACAAGTTGTGTTTTCTTTTCTACCATGCCTGAACCCCAGTGCCACGAAACTGCACATTGACAGAAAGGTAGTGCCATTTACTTCTTTTTACAACCATTGGGTAATCATTGCCAGCTTCTTACCATTATTTTTTTATGATCCACCTTGTGATGCCAGTTGAACAGATTTTTCCTTTCTATCAGTCATGGAATATCTGTGTCAGCCTCATGTAAATGAATCCACAGGTTTTATGTAAACTTTTTTCTGATTCTAGTTGGATTTAGAACTTTCTGATCTTCCAGTAAACAGGAGCATTGAGTAGAATTTTTAATAGTAAGGAGTCTTGTGTTATTGTTGTTTTCAGAAGGAATGGAAGTGATAGTGGTATACCATATTTTATAAGATCATTGACTTGGAGATAGATGGGAACCTCAGAGCCTATTGTAACTTTCCTTATTTTATAGATAGGGAAACTGAGGCCCGAGGAAGTTGAACAACTCACCCAAGGTCACACAGTTAGTAAGATTAAGCCTATCATGACACTAGAGCCAATGCTTTTTCCACTGTACCATTCATGGTATGAGAAGGTGGGTGATAGGAAGGGGAAAAGGATATTTTTTAGCTATGAGTTGATTTAGAATGGAATTTGGGTGTAGTGCAGGGAAAGCTGGAAGAACCTGAATTTCCAATTTGCTTATCTTTTACTTTTTTCATTTGTCACTCTCTTACCTTAATCTAACTCCTTCTGTAACCTTTGATCACTCCTTGCCCTTTTTTGTGTATTCATAATTTTCCCAGTGAAATATTTTTATTCATTCATAATTAATAACTAATAGTCATGCAGAATGATTTTAAAATACTTTCCTCTTAAACACAATACAAGTAGTGTATTATTATACACTGTTTTACAAATGAGGAAACTGGAGCTAAGTGAGATTGCATCATTTGTTCAAGGTCACTCAGCTAGAAAATATCAAGTGCAGGCTTTCTGATTACAAAGCCAGTGCTTGTCCACCATGTGTACTATCTCCCTCGTAAGTATCAACATTGGATGTTCAAATACAGATATCCTTAATCCAGTTGTAAGTAGTACTCTTTCATTTATGCCATGCTGCACGCTGCATCTACCCATACCTCATTCATTCAATCAACAAATATTTATCAATTGCCACCTGTAGGGGGGAAGGATGGGATAGAGAAGAATCATGGGATTTCAGAGTTGGAAGGGCCATGTTGTTTGTTGTTTGTCCTTCTTTCTCACAAGAGGACTGTGACATCAGGGAGATGATGCCATGACATGTAAGTGAATTGAATTTAAGTGAGGGAGGCCTGTACAAGGTCACCAGCTTCCCTTTCTCCTCTGGAGCCATCTGGGTCCAGTGACCAGATAGAGATAAGGACAACTGGACATGGCCCAGGATGCAGTAGGGGACCTTGGCTTTCTTTTTTTTTTAAGTGAGGCAATTGGGGTTAAGTGCCTTGCCCAGAGTCACACAACTAGTGAGTGTTATATGTCTGAGGCCGGATTTGGACTCAGGTCCTCGGACTCCAGGACCAGTGCTCAATCCACTGTGCCACCTACCTTGGCCTTTTTTAAGTGACGTCTCAGTTAAGCTAAGGTCTCAGTTTAACTCAGGCAATACCCATTCAGTGATTAAGGCTTAATAATATGAAAGAAGTGAGGCAGAGAATGGCCTCCAAAAAAATGGCCTAGTTAAAAAAAAATTGATCTGGGAGGGGAAAACCCTCAGGGTTTCCAGCCAAAACAGGAAGGGCCCTAAGCTACAATTAGTAGCTGAAAAAAAGAATCCACACCACAACTTGCTCATTAAGTAGTAACTTCCAGCTTCTGTTGGAAGACCCCTATTTCACTTTTGGATAGTTCTAATAATCTGAAAGTTTTCATGAAATCAAGCTGAAATTTGTTTCTTAGCAACTTCAGTCCCTGTTCCTGCCCTCTGGGGTCAAACTGACAAGTATAATCCTTCTTCCCAGTCTTTAAAATACTTGGAAGACAGTTATGTGCTCCACAATCCTCTTCTCCAGACTTAGTTTCTTGAACTAATCCTTACCATGCTGGTTGCCCTCCTCTGAACTGGAGGCACTTCACCAGCCTGAATGGTTTCCAGTTAATCATGCTTCCCTCAGCTTGTTTTTGTAAAGTTGATTTATTTAACCCCAAATCAAGACAATATCTATCCCTATTAAAATTTTACTATATTTAGGCCAATAAGTCTGACAAGATCTCTTTAGATCTTGCCTCCATTATTCTGTGTGTCACACATCCCTCCCAGCTTTGTGACATCTGAAAATTTGATGTTTGCCATTCTTTATAATGATTTTGTAAATCGCTTGCATAAAGGCATAGGTTTATTCTCTTCTGAGGTTAGTTATTACCATCCATTCTTTCCTCTCAAGCCCTTCTTCCCTACATTTTTATAAGTCTATTTTGATGATTCTATCATTGTGCCATTTACCAAGACTTAGAACCTAGCTTGTAACCTAGGACAATTATGTGGCCCAGTTATGCACACAATTATGTGTTATCAGGAAGACCTAGAGTTCAAATCTGGCCCCAGATACTTATTTGCTGTGTGACCCTGGGCAAGTCACTTAATCCTGTTTGCCTCAGTTATCTGTAAAATGAGCTGGAGAAGGAAATGACAAACTACTCCAGTGTTTTTGCCAAGAAAACTCCAAATGGGGTCATGAAGAGTCAGACATTACTGAAACGACCTAAGAACAACAATCTAGGTGTTATCATTGACTCGTCACTCTGTATCATTAACCA